ATATATATATTATATATATGTGTGTGTGTGTGTGTGTGTGTGTGTGTGTGTGTGTGTGTGTGTGTGTGTGTGTGTGTGTGTGTGTGTGTGTGTGTATGTGTGTGTGTATATATATATATATATATTAATCTGTCATGTTAATACTCATCACAAATTTTAAAGGATATATATGCACCTGGATGAACTCGTTCTTGTCCAATAAAAGTTCTTGGTTCACCAATAATACCATCATCTCTTACAGGAGTGCATTTAAAAGAGACAAATTTGCCAATTGCATCTTTTGTTATCCGGTACTGAAGAAGTCCTGATGCCTCCAGTATTAAGGCACCTACATCGGTTTCATTCTGCAAATATCCAAGGAAAAATTAAGGAGTATGGAACAAAGGAAGACCAAAAAGAATTTCCTTCTGGAAGATGTGAGATGCAGACAACCAACAAAATTTGTATATTATAACTGATCAGGGAAAATCATCAACATATCTATTTCCCAGCTCTTAAAACATGAACTATTAATAAGAAACAGGAGAGGGCATACTTCATGGAGATACCAACTGTAGACACTCTTTCCCTCGTGGCCCCCAATGTAACCATATGATGCTGTCAACATCTCACCCTCGGAAAAGTCACCAGTGACAGATAGAAAATTAAGGCTTGGTGGAAGGGCTGCCAAAAATCATATGAAGTTATTTATGTCCTAGAAACACAAAGAATCACACAGGAGTAGAGGATACATGATAGAGCATGATTCAGACACTACCAATAGAAAAACTAACAACTCTGAACTTGAGTATGAAACATTCAGTTTATATTACAGTAGACACGACAAGACTTAATGCTCTAAGAAATGTTAACTGAAAGGTAAAGCATTTTAGGTTTTTCTATGAACTTACCAGGTGATCAGTGGAGAATAAGAAAAAATAATGAGTTCAAATTTAATCAATGGAACTCAAACACTGCAAAGTATAAGCAACATAAGTACACTCTGGCACACAAGGTTTTCACCAATGCAAGGTCTGCGGACAGTTAATTTTGCAGTCTTATCCCTACAAGCAGAAATGTTGTTTAAATAATAAAGTTAGTATATAGTTTTGCACATCTCAAATATTTGAATTTTGTGGGTAATACCACTAATCCAGTTGTTTAGTGACTACAATCTTTATTCTTATGATATGGTAATCTTCAAACAGGGTTCAAAATCCAAATTCCACCATACTGTGCATCTTTCTTCTCAGCAACTTCTTTGTGTCCTCACAGTCCCTGTCACTATTCTTGTTCCTCTCTCAGCATGATCTTTCCCTGCCCTGTTGACATCTTACAGCATTTTGCAACAACCTTCCACTCATCAATTATCTTTTAAATAAATCAGGTTTTCAACTCATGGCAGACGCATGACATATTCAGGTAATGTCTTAATGCTCAACAGGCATTTACTTTATTCTTCATTTAGAGATCCTTTGCCTCTAAATTCTTTATTAAAAATTTTCAATCTTTTCTCTGTCACATCAAATCCCAGAATTGCCAACCTGGGAACTATAATTCCCACATGAACCACAGGATCTAGTGCATAGTCCTAGACACCTAATAGGTTAAGAGTGAGGAAAGTGATTGTTCCTAGACACCTAAACTTGTTTTGGACCTTTGATAATGACTTGTATTATAAAAGCATATGGACGGTAGAGTACGCTGAAAGATAGAATCTGAAATAAATATCTGAACGACTGGCAAGTATGAAAGGTTCAAACAGAACTTCATGTAACAGGTATTAGGAAAAACCATGGTTCCAGTGGCATGAAAAATATCTCTTAATGAAGTTGAGAAAACATGTCACCATAGGCATACAGTGCCATGCTTGTGAAATTGCAGTTGTTAATCATTAATTTCTACAAATCAAAAACTAGATTAAATATAAAAAACAAGCAAATTTAGACCTTGGCAGCAATCCCTACAAAAAGAACCTCTTTCTCGATCAAAGAAGTGTTCAAGAAATTCATGGCATCATAAAAATGAATGCAACTTACTCTCAACGACATTCTCTGATATAGCATATGCAGGTTCACCAGTTTCGCCATCAGGAGCCATAGGAGTAAATTTTGCAACAACATAGTACCCAACAGCACCAAGGGGAATACGAAATGCCTATGAAAGGATCAAGTTATGTTTAATGTGAACAACATCAACTGCGTTTAGAAGTTAGTTATGAGTAGCATTTGATGAAAAGAAACTTCAGATATCTCACCTTTGCAATTTTGGAGGTACTAACTGCTTCAAGAAAATTTTCAACTTCCAACTTTGGGGAAGTTGTTTTGAACCATTGGACTCTACTAGATCCCTCAGTTCCCCCAGTGACAAGAGCACTAACAGTAACTTTGTTTCCCTCTCTAAGATCTCCAATGATCTTTAAATTGGTTACCTTTGGAGGGGCTTCACAACACCGTGATAAAATTGGGGGGAAAGAAACTTTAGATGAAAAGAACAAATTTATTGATGCATAAAGCAAACGTGATGTTTGGCTTATACCTTTCTTTACAATTTCTGTAGTGGCAGATGTTGATTTTCCCTCCTGACCTGGAAAGCCACAGAAAATGACTTCATGACAACAAAATTTTCCTCAATTTGAATAATCTATAATTTTCAAGAGAAATAGCACATGAACATACCTTCAAAATTGATGGGTATATAAATAAACACCAGGCGTCTTCCAATATCTTCTTTGGTCAATGTATATTCACTTGTACCAGATGATGCTAGTTCACAAATGCTGCCAAATTAAATCCAAAATAGAAAACAAACTTATATGGTAAAGAGAAAATGCGAAAGAATATCAAGTTTTTCAGCATTCTGATGAAAGTAAGGTAGGATTGCAAAATTATTCCACTTTTACCATTAATAAAACTTGTACAATCAAGAACACACTTCAACTTATAAGCTTCATTACTCTATAATGTCAATTAAAAAGGTACAGATATGCCACAGGCCAGAGATTTATTATATTGCAACAATTAAGGATACATGAGCATACTGAATAGGACACTGGTATAGCAATACTATAAAACAGCTGATAACCATAACTCAATGACTCATAGCTAAGGCATTTCAGTAGTGATAAGCTTTGAAAGTGACAATGTGTTAACCATATAAAAGGGGTTCTTTTTGCTAACCACAAGGTCAGCATATCACCAAAACCCTAATCTTTTTGTCCGGGGGATTTGATGAATTTCAACTACAGGTTCAAGTAGAAAGAATCAAAGAGAAGTGATTCAGCTCATGTATTCTAGATTATTTTTGTCCAATTTTTTAATGAAGGTAAATTAGTAACATGCAAACTGCCCAACTAAGTAATTTTAATTTTGTTCTTAAAAGAAAAAATTATTAAGTTTAGGGTTCGGCAATAAGTTCAGATATACCTTGAATCTTTACTCTCTCTTAACCACTTGAACCTGCTTGGTCCTTCTTTTCCCCCAAAATATTCTCCAACTCCTTTTATCACGTTTCCTTCAACAGCATCTCCTATAATCTGCACATTATTGACTGAAGGTGCAGCTGAAACAAAGAAAATAGGCCACAGACAGTAAGCAACAACAACAACAACAGTAAGCACTGCAGGAAAATAAGTTAATAAGCAAATGTGTTTACTCCAAGGTTTGCCGTGCTGCGGAATACTGCCCGGTACAGGCAGCAGTACATACTGGTCCGACAGGGGACCAGTACGTGGACCACCCTGTACTAGCGGTCCAGTTAAATTAATAAAATATTCAAAAATATGGTGGGCCCATGTCCAAATCATCATAAAAAAAAAAAAGAGATTAGGGCTCGCGAACGCGAGCCCTCTTCTCGCATAAGGTGCAGCCGGCTTGCCATCATCACTTCGCCTCTGCTGCCACTGCTGTTCCACTGTCGCGTGAGATGCCGCCACCTCACAGTTGCCGTTTCCCCACTGCTGCCACTGTCGCTTTGCCGTCGCGTAAGATGGCACTGCCTCGCTGTCGCTGCCTCCCAGGTACGCTGCCACCACTCTTTTCCTCCTCTTCTTTCTTCTTCTTCCTCCACTTCTTCCTCTTTTTCCCTCTTCCTCCTCTGTTCCCCTACCACTCCTTCCATTTCTCTTTATTTTTCTTCATTGCTGACCACTAGTACGCATCGGCATACCATGTGTCAGAACATCAGTACAGACTGGCATGTACCGTTCCAGCAGTTTGCCGAAATGGTCCGGTACCCAAAAAGGCAAACCTTGGTTTACTCCACTGAAAAACACAACTGCAATAAGAATCAAGTGCATAATAATCATTCCATGTAAGAAAAACATAAGACACAACACTCATGGTATGTTGACCATAAAATTGTGGTTCTTCCATACATCAGGTAACTGAGTTTTCATTGGAAGGAAACCTTTCAAGGATACAAAGAGAAAACCCCTGCAACTATGCATATGTGAGAAATACGTGTGCTCCTACAGATAGCTCAAAGAACAATGATGTTTACTGATACTAACAACTAACAAGAATATTACTTGGTAATTGACAAACAAAATATATACATAAGCACTTAAAATATCAAGTGCCAATAATTAGAACTGACAACCAGATAGAAAAATTTTATGCATATTGTTGTAGGCAGTATGGCACCATAGGCTACAGCATAAACTATAAAGAATCACAACAGAGCAGGTCAAATAAATGACATCAATTCATAATATGTATAGTTAGCAATACCTGCTTTTATGAAGTCAGTCATTGCATACTGTGGCTCTCCCTTGACACCTTCTTCTGTAACTGGAGTGTACATGAAAACCAAACTTGAATCAATGTCATCTAAAGTTAGCGTGTACTCCTCAGCTTCAGCTCCAACTATTACAACAGGGCTACCATTCCATCTTCGTCTCAACCAGCTGTTAAACAGATTCATGGATGTTAGGCTTTTCACTATAAGGATTGCATTCAGGAAAATATGAGAATGGTAATGTTCTGATGCAACATAGAAAACCAATTTCAAATAGTACAGTAGATGACTCACCTTGCCACACATTTACCTGGGGTTCCACCACACCATGCAACCTCAGCAGAACCTCTTATCACATTTCCTTCCACAAGCTCACCATGGACACTCAAATTCAGAACTTTAGGATATCCAGTTCCTGGTCAAGGAATTGTTATTAGAGCATGCAAGCTATTAATAAACTTACGATGGTAGTGGTAGTATCACATATAGGTTCCTTCAGGAACTAGAAATCAGCGATGCAAGATGATTACCTCCTATTAACAACTCTACAAGAACTTCTTACAAAAATAAAGCAACAAAAACTAAAAAAGAAATCTCTACCAATCCAAAATCTGATCATTAGTTTATGCTTGTTATCTTATAAATTAAGGTAGACATCTTATCATCATCAACTAAGATAGCAAAACAACAATTGTAATAATTCTCTGTATCCAGCATTCAATAACAGATCTTTGCTAGAAAATTAAGGATACTCCAGGCTCCAGCATGGTAAAATCCACTGCCTGACAAGGGTTGAGCCATGAGATTAAAAGTGGACTTCAAGAGCCAGATATGAAACACCCCATTTTACTTACATCAATGTCCATTATTATATGTGAGGCTCATCTGTTAAAATACGATTCACTCTTTAGAAGCCCTTCAATAGTATGCTCCCTTAGTGTTGTTCCAAATAAGCTAAATTTCTCAAGGTGATGGTAGTTTCCTTCTGAATCTAATTGTAACTTTTCAAACATCAACGAGAGAAAGAAGACTCATATAATAGGCCAAATGAAAGAAAGACTGCAAACTTACTTTTAACTAAATAGACCAAACCCACATATATACTCCATTCTGACATAGTATGGTAGTACCCAATATATTTATGTAGACTTAAAATCTTAGATATTTTTTGGACCTTGTGTTACAAAATCACATCCAAAGATTTTGTTGTCTCATTCAAAGATGATAACAAACATCAACGAGCAAATCACAAATATTGTTTTCCATTTCAGCTTTGTGCATATGCATAATATTTATTCTCAGATCATTAAACTAAATTACATAGATCATGTTTCCAGTCGTTTTCTCCTCAGATCTGCTACACGGGACCACTGCATGAAATGCACCCTGAATATGATTTCTCAATACCGAATCCAACAAGATTTCCATATTCTCAAGAGATCATGCAGCTGCTACAGAGGGCCACTGCATGAAAAAACCACTGCATATATTGCATACCAAGTAGGGGCTTGTTGAAACCCTAGCTATGGAAGACTCCCAAGCAGCTATTCACCACAAATTTTGAGGTGACTGATGGCATTCTGTCTCAACTACTACTATATTCCAGAAAAGATGGATGCGATGGACTAATTGGGTGAGTTCAAAGAACTACAGACTCTATAGTATAGAGTACAATGAAGAATGCAATTAACAAAAATCTGGAAATAGAATTCCACTAGTTGACATATGAGAATCAACAAGACCAAGCATACCATACTATTCCCTTATGTGATAGTTAACATATTTTGTTAAGCTAAAACTAAAATAAATGTTAAAGCACACTGCAAGCTAGAAGCCCTGATATTCTTGAATACTAAGATCCAGAACCTTGAAGCCGTAAAAGGTTATCTACCCCATCACAGGATGATAATGATGCTGCACTTCCATTAATAAGAGATCCTTGGTAGAAATGTGAAGTAAGAACAACAAGAAGCTGTAACATCCCAAATTTTCTCATAGCAATTCATTAGTCATCATTTGCTCTTGTTATCTGGAAATCCAACTTTCCTGGGCAGTGAAGCAATATCTAATGATTGTGACATATTTTCTTTACATGCACAAAAGTTCGCTTTTCACTCTTGTTCATACTCTCATGATATGATGAAGATTCAAGAAATCATCTACAAAAAGAGGGAGTATATTCGCAAAAAGAAAAAAACAAAATCCTTTCCCCTATATACAAAGTTTTTGCTTGCAAATAACATCACAATGCATCAGGTTTCAAATGTTATATATCCAGTTGTGCAGAATGCAGATACTTGGTTTTGCAAATTACAAATTCAAAATTTTATTTCAATCACATCAAATTATAACCACATATCCTCGATAGTTATTATATACACATGAACAGCAAAAAAACATGAACTTAGACCAACAATATTCTATAACAAACAACAAAAAATATTTAACTAACATGAAATATCAATAGAGATACCTGGGGAAACAAGTGATGATACAGCAAAAACCGAAGGGTACTCAACACCATTCATGATTGGAGTGCACTCAACCTTCAAATATTTGTCAATGTCCGAGTGCTTTGGCCAGTAAACCTTATTAGTGGCAAGCAACAAATGGTTAGCATATCGCAACATCAGGAGAAACAATAAACTCATAGATAAACTCAGATAAGTACAATTTATACCTCGTCTACAGCATCTGCAATAGGTACAAAGCTAGAGAGAGTTCTTTCTCCTATAAGCCATTGGTGCTTAAGGACCAGCTCAGAGTTGCTGCTTAAGTTGACAAAGTTAAAGTGGCAGCGGCAGATATCTTCTTCGAATGGCTGATCAATTGAAGCTTGTTTAAGCATGTATCCAGGAGGAATGTTATCCTTCCATTGATCAAATAGGAATGAAAATGTTGACTCTGTCCAGAAAATAAACTACTTTTCTAAGAGGGATATTGACACTGTGCAGAAAGACTTAGCGTATACAAAGCATTACAAAGGAGAAACTATGTCAAACAGAAAAGATAAACAAAGAATATTTTGAGACTCTGATTTTGGATATATTCAATCAATAGAGAATCTGCTGACTGTACATTGTTACATACGCAAGATAAAAGAGCCTAATAGTAGTAGTTATTTATGAATTATCATGCAAAAGTCCAACCATCCTAAAGTATCCTAATTTAGTGTTTTCCTTCCTCTTGGATGAAAATATCTTGAATAGACTGTAATTCTTAACCTTGTAATATACATCAAATAGCCTGTCAAAAGTTCTAGTTTGACAACTACTGCAACAACCATGATAAGATATTAAGAATACTCCTCAAAGAAATATGGCTTAACATTCAGGAATTTCAGCTGAATTGTTTATGCCAGTACAACACAGGAAAACTTGACAGGAGATGGCCAGATTATTCCAGCATTCTTATTAGAACACATCTGGCAGATTGTTAGCAGTAAGGTTTAAGGGTTGAATGAACAAGAAAAAGAAAGGTAGAAGGCTTGAGGACGTAGAAGGATACAGAATGAGCTCCCAGTGGCAAATCAAAACCATCACAGTTGGCCGCGAATACAAGGAGAAGAGGAACAGTGAAACCAAGTTTCTATTTATCATACTATCCATGCATTGGAAAGAAATGCTTAAAGCTGCACTCCATCCGTATGACAACCAGCAAAAGCTCACCACTGCCTAAACTAACCTTAAGCATGTTGCAGCCACACCAACCCCCTCAATTTCGAATTCCACCTTATACAATAAATAGAAACCTCTTCACCATATAAAAATATATTAAAGTTGATCCTGAGATCAATGTCAAGAGCCTCAAGAAAGCTATCATCAACATCAAGACCAGGTGACAAAGTGAAAAGGCAGGTGAGTAAAATGAAAAATGCAAAGGATTTAGAGTTGGACAAGAGCAAGAATAAAAGAAAGCCCAATGATTTGAAGTCAACCAATACTGTGATAGACATTCACATGGTCCCGAATTCCCAATGTTTCATCAGACAACAGAAGCTTAAGTTATCATGTGATGATCGAAGCTCCAAGACATGTGGCTGTCCTTTTAGCAGGACAGCCAGGAATAAATCATTACAGAAAAGTGATAAAATTACACACCAAAAGTTGTGATACCAGATATAGAGACCTCCCATGCTTTTAAATCTGCTGATTTTGGAATTAATTTGTCGACTATAACAAATTGTTGCATACTGGGCAAAAAATCAAGTTTTAATGAGCAATGCTAAAATTATCCATCATATATTGCCGAGTATTCTTGAGCCTCCCTGACGTTTTTCTGTTAAGCAATCATATAAATCATTACAGAAAGGTGCTAATATTACACACCAAAAGTTGTGATACCAGATATAGAGACCACCCATGCTTTTAAATCTGCTGCTTTTGGAATTAATTTGTCGACTATAACAAATTGTCACATACTAGGCAGAAAATCAAGCTTTAATGAGCAATGCTAAAATTATCCATCATATATTGCCCAGTATTCTTGAGCCTCCCTGATGTTTTTCAGTTAAGCAATCAAATAAATCATTACAGAAAAGTGATAAAATTACACACCAAAAGTTGTGATACCAGATATAGAGACCACCCATGCTTTTAAATCTGCTGCTTTTGGAGTTAATTTGTCGACTATAACAAATTGTCACATACCAGGCAGAAAATCAAGCTTTAATGAGCAATGCTAAAATTATCCATCACATATTGCACAATATTCTTGAGCCTCCCTGATGTGTTTCAGGTTAAGCAACCAGATGCAGTTTAGTTAACCCTTCCACATACACAACCTTCACATAAAGTAGTACCCCAGTACCCCTAAAAACAAATGCCTAAAGATCATAATACATGTAAGATCAACCAAAGGACATGTTAGAACACAAGAAAATCACAAGAGCTAGTACCATAAATATTGAAATTAAGCTAATTTAGATGAAATGTTAGGAAAAACGGTGCAGTGTCACTAAGTTTCCCAAGTCAATAAAGGTGAGAGAATCTTCAAAAGGCCTAGAATGGATAACATTTCCATATTAGATGATCATAATAAAATATAGAACCGAATAAGGCATACCTTCAGCAATCTCCGAACGGCAAAATTCCCATCCATCCTTAATGCACAAAGCTGTATGTGCTGGGTATAGCTTTGCAATTTCTAGTTCTTCAGGAGAAATATCTGCATTGTTAAATTGAATTGAGAGAAGAGATCAAGCAAATCTAACAAAAAAGCAATTTTCGTCACACAATTAAGGATAATTTACTTCAATGTTATCAAAATCAGACAGGACCGGCTAGGATGTCAGGGAAAATCAGGAACCAACCCTGGTCAATCAATTCTGTATTGGAAATGCATGTGAACCAGGTTTAGCTGCTTGAGCCACCCAGTTTTTTAGCCAATTGATCCATAGAATATCAGGCCGGTTTTGGTATAAATGGCAAAAGACTTGAATTACCCTTGTTATAAATTTCAAATAGGACTTTGGAGATGGTAAATAAATAAATTACAATATTAAGAAAAAAAAAAAGTTCATTGAAATCAGTCCAAATGTCTGATATATTCATCCCCTTTTGTCTTATCTTAACTGCCTCTACTTGTGCCCCATCACTCCTCCCTATTTTCCTTTTGCGCATGACCGCACCCCACCACCTCCTATTTTGCTACCACCCCCCTCTCTATCTCTGCATTACCTCCTCTCCTCTTTCCCTCCAACCCACCACACTTTCCCTTGCAGGATACAACACCACTTGCTGCTTGGCTTCACAAAACCATTGCCTGTCACAGTGATTGAAAAAGGCACTCGGGCGCTCGCCTAGGCGCTCGGGCGAGGCGAGGTGAGGCCCGAGCGCCTCGCTAATCTCCCAGGCGGCGCGCTTCAAACAGGCGCCGCCTCGGCGCTCGCCCGAGCCCAGGCGCTGGGCGCTTCGAGCAAGCGCCTGGGTAAACCAAGGCGACCGAACCAGGATTTTAGGTCTGGTTCGGTCCTGGTTCGGTTGGTTAGTTGGTTCAATCGAACTAACTAAACCGATATAACCCGTACCCAACCCTAACCCGCTGCCGCTGCCACTCCCGATCCCGATCTCGCTGCTCGCCGCTGTTGTTGTCGCCGCTCGCCGCTCGCGCCTCCCGCTGCTCGCCGCTCCTACTCCCGCTGCCGCTGCTCGCCGCTGTCGCTGCTCGCAAACGCTGCCGCTGTCGCCGCTCAAGCCTCCCGCTCCTGCTGCTCGCCGCTGCCTCCTTACACTCCGCTGCCGCTGCCGCTTCCTCTTTTCTCAATCAGCAGACTCAGCACCCCCTTACACTTCCTTCTTCTCCTTCTGTTAACAGTATACTGTATACTGTTAATATTGTTAGGTTTATTTGAAATTATTAATTTTCAATACTGTTAATAGATTTTCTTAATTTAATAGCATATTTTAATATAAAATTTTAAATAATTATATTTATTAATTATATTATATATTTTTATATTTTAGCGCCTCGTTTCGCTCGGGCAAGCGTCTAGCGCCTCGGGCGTTTTTGGACCTTGGCGCCTTTTAGCGCCTAGCGCTTTTTAAATCACTGGCCTGTCATATAGTGATTTAAATAGGTTCTCTGGCGCTCACCTAAGCACTCGGGTGAGGTGAGGCCCGAGTACTTGATATGAGGACCAGGCGGCATGCTTCAATGAGGCACCGCCTAGGCGCTAACCCAAGCCTAGGCGTCGGGCGCTTCGAGCAAGCGCTTGGTTCATATAAGGTAATCGGGCGCCTAGGCGATTCGGTTTAATAGCAATTAGTTGGTTCGATTGAACCAACTAATGCAGTTCCTTACCTTAAAAGCTACCCATCATGCGCAACCCCGACTCCCCGAGCCAACCCTAGCGTGTGTTTTCTCTCCCGCTACCTCCACCGCTAACGCTTTCTCTCGTTGCCTCCGCCACAGACACAGCGAACCAAGTCTTCCTCCCACTGCTTTCGTTGCTGTCTGCTGCCACTGTTCGGTTGTTGTCCGCTGATGTTCGTTGTTGTTGTCCGTTGTCTGCTGTTGTCCACACGCCACTGCCACTACTATCATTCGTAGTGCTGTCGCGGCTATCTTAAACTGATCATCCGCTGATGCTGCTTCTCACTGCTACTTCTCTTCTAACTATTCACTATTGGTTTCACTCGATGACATTTTTTATCCCTTTTATTTAAATAATCATATTTATTAATTATATTATATATTTTTATATTTTAATATTTTAGCGTGTCTTGTTTCGCTCGGGCAAACGCCTAGCGCCTCGGGCATTTTGAGACTTTGACGTATAGCGCTTTTTAAATCACTACTGCCATATGCATCTCTAAGATAGAAAGTCAAGGCCTTGCTACACCATTATTGCCTCAACATTCAACATCACCAATGCCACATTTGGAATTTCAGCTAGCCACCTTCACTGCCTCCGCACACCAGGGCATCCTCAACCATTGGCAAGGCCAAGCCTTTACTAGTTGCAATTTTAATTATCAGTTGGACTAGTATGTACCAACAAATATTTACCAGTTCAACCAACTACCAGTACAGAAACATATTGCTTAACCCCAGTACAGAATCATTCATTGTTAACTTCTTTTTATTATTCATTCAATGATACGTGACAGATGATATCAGTATACCAACCAGTATACCGAGATCTTACCAATCCGATAAGTTATTTGAACCAGTAGAACACCAGTAATAAAAATTTTGGCACCACCATCTCCCATTTTTTCTCGGTTAGCTATTTATTATATCATTATCCTAATAAGCACTTTTCAATTAATCAACATAATCAAAAAATTGTTTCTAATATGTTTATTAGCAATAATTTTTGTTTTAATTATTTATGGATTCTGAGAGTACTTTAGATGATTATCACAAGCTAATTTAATTGTTTAGATAATATAATGACTAATTTGTTTATTTATGTGATTAACAATTTCTTTATCAAATATCATGATAATGCCGTATAATAGTTGGAACACAACAATAAATGCATTCTATGTATGCTTATTTGTTAGTATTACTCCTCAAAAAAATATATTTTATTTTGTTAGATACCTCTTAATAGACTTGTGAACAAATTGATGACCATCAGTAATCAGTGACGCTGTGACTTGTCCAAGTTGATGAGGTAACATTAATCAATTTCTACTCATACTCATTTTCGATTGGTCATGGTTCAGAAAATGCATAACTATATCATGATCTATCATGCATCAACAAGTGGGTCTTTCCAAGCAAATGTGCTAAAAGGGCAGTTAATAGCCATAGTCCAGAGCTTTTACAGAAGTCGGCTTCTGAAGGTTAGTAACTGATTATTCTGGAACTCCTGGAACTCCAAAAATTATCCCACAGATTACCACAAGATCAGGCAAGATAATGATGAAATTAATCATACAAACTGCATCATACGTTAGGTTGCACCGAGGATGAAAACATATATTTACCAAGAAAACTAATGAACAAGCATAGCATGTCAAACTCAATGATATCAGGGAAAAGACAAATAAAATAGAAATAATATGAAATGAAATAACTTGCAGCAAGTAATTAGATTAAGATAGGAGTAGTGAGAAAGGAATTTCTAGCAAATTTTACAAGATAGAGAAAATACTTTAAAACCTATGTCACATTAGAATATCAAAGAACTTGGAAGATACCACGGTTGTTGAACTTCTTAAGTGTAGGACCAATAAGTAGTATCAAAGCTGCTTCTAAGTGAGGCATCTCTAGTATAGGATTCTCCTCGACACGCAGATGCTGCACATGTAACATTCAGAAAATTCACATAAGTCGCTCTTAATGATGTGTCAAAGAAAAGTGTTTCCAGAGTGTAACGCAGCAAATGAAAGGTTACTCATTTTAAGGATTGATGCCGTAAGACAAATAACAACTTAGAAACAATTCTATATTGCTAAACAAGGTACCAAACAATATGATAACTTGAAATTTTCAAAAAATAACACCAAATACTGCATTAAGATTCATTCAGATGTGATTGCCTATTCAACCATATTAGAAATTAACAATATTGAATGTAACAGAAGAAATGCAACAAATTTGTTACCTTCATGCACTTTTTGTAAACCATTCTTCAAAGATAATTATCATTCATCATGATAGTAATTTTCTTAAAGAATCGATGAAACTCTTACTATAGAGGACAGTTAGAATTACGTCACCCATGAACCAAATTTTTTATTCTTCACAAATCTGGTAAATCATTTACATCCCAAAGGCTCCAAGGTTTTCCTAGAAAAATTGTACTTAAGTTAACTAAGCTTTTCTCAAGGATATATCTTTCTCATAAAGTCATATACAAGTTTCATATAGAATCCCACAACCTGCATTAATAACATGTAACATCAAAGACAAGTAGACAACTATGTCAATGTAAAATCTATTCAGATGAAATAGATGAACCTTTCTTAAATTTCAAATAGAGAATAAAACTGAGCATCTCTAATGCTAAGCTCAAAGTTTGCACAAACAAAAGCATAAAAACTTTACATAAGAAGTCAAAATAAAAGCTTAAAAAATTCTCTCTTTTTTTTTCTGTTCTGCCAATGCAGGAAAGACTAGAAGAAACCATAAGTTTGATAAATGTGTAGGATAACCTGACCTCCAGAAGTGGTAAATGTGGAAAGCCCTTCAAAGTTGATATCTTATTTTTGCTAGCTGCCAATACCTGGATGAGTACCAAAACAAAGAACAGTGGCTGAATAAAAAAAATAAAGAGAAAAAAAGTTAATAAATTAAAATTAGCTGACCTGCAGCCGTGGTTGACTAGCCATGGTAAGTGACTTTAACTTGTTCTGAGCAACTGAGAGAAACTGGAAGAGAAGAAGTTCGATGTAGATTTGTGAGAAATAATAATAGTACGCATTATTAAAAGAGAATACATTATCCAGTCTAAGACTCTGATAAATGATGATTACAGCATACCTCCAAATTTGGAAGTTGAGGAAGAGTAGCAAGCGATGTTATTTGATTTCCAGCAAGATAAAGTTGCTAAAGTAATAAGGAACAAATCATTCTTAGTTGCATATTTAGGCAAAGAACCTCCATACAGAGGTATGCAAGTAAAAGACAACTTAAAAGACCATTTACATACCTGAAGTCCTTTGCAATTTCCAAGAGGCTCAAAACCAGGTCCTTCAAAATCATTAAAACTAAGGTCAAGCACCTTCAAGATAAAATTTACCCACTCATCAATATACCATTGGGATGTTTAGTCAAAAGAAAATGCTTGAAGGTAACCCCTGTTATTTTATAAAATGGGATGATAAATGCTGGCAAAAATATATCAAGAAACCATACCTTCAACCTTTTTAAAATCTCAATGCCCTCTACGGATGATAGAAGGTTATCCCTGAGATAAACAAACTATAAAGTAGAAATATTACTACATGTAGAAGCAGTCATTCTTCAGAGAGCATTTATAATGTATACTTTGTTCTGTATGTTTGAGATGAACACAAAAGAAACAAAGTAAAACCCTATATATGGTGCAAGAACGAAGTACTCTCACAACATTTAATCAAAAAGTAAAAACAAAGAAAGATGTTAACATGAATTATGCAGTCATTAATTAGCCTAGCAACAGAAAGCTGAAATTAACAGAATCGCACTAACAGGTAAAGATATTATTATCTCGTAACAGTTATTTTCACCAGAAATCTGTGTCAACTCTCAAGCATGTTTAATGTAACCCAGTTAATAATGTCAGCAATTCTTATGTTTACATACTCAACTAGTCTATCAGGTTCGTCATACCATGGCATACTGCTCGATATGGCTAGTATATATGTATCGGTCCGATAGGAGACCGGTATAGGCGGTACATAGTGGTTTGTCGGTACACTCCACCGTATCATGTGTCAGTGTGTCAGTACGTATATGTATCATATCGGTACAGTCGATTGGTACACCGGTATGGATCGATAGGGCGAATCATAGGCTACCTATGAAGTGCATACAATCACAGCTAGCTCATTAAGCTCATCAGTCACCGTATACTCTCTTGCCAATAGCATACCGAGTTTCAGAGAAGACCAGATCTTAATAATCATTATAACTAACGAACAAGTGTAGAGCTTCAATATGACACCTCAGACACCTTGCACCACAGGCACATTTTACATGTTTCAAAATGTAATTACTAGAGATAGCCTACAGTAATGGAAAGTCCCCAACAAGTGCAACCTTCTCCCATTTACCACATTTCTTATGCAATTATGCAAATTTACATCTTTACATAACATACTAATTCCATACCCCATAAGATTGCCCTTTTCTTAAGGACTACTTAAGATTACCATCAAATACATATGAAAAAAATCTATCACAAAAATTATTTGTTTTGAGCCCTCTAAAATTTTTGACTTAGTAGACCATGGGAAACAGGCTAATCAAAATAACAAATGTGGTACCACTGAGACTTCTACATCATTGCAAAATCTTTAACTCTGACCTTATATGTAATTCATAAGTATGAATCCGTATTATCAGCCATGACACTAACAAAAGAAAGCATTAAAACTTTCCATCATGCAAAAGATCCTATGATGTATTTCCTTCTTAGATCTAGTACTTAAGCAATAAGAAGTCACGTCAATCTTACTAAAGAAATCTTATCATAACCTCAAGCACATTGTGTACATTGTAACACAACCTTATCACAAGCAACCCAAATCAATGGATTTATCTCTAGAACCCTCCAAACCATCCAGTCAGTGGTCGACGATAATTTGACATGCTTGTAGCCTAGCATAGAGATATAGAGGTACCATTAAAGAAGTAGAGGCTGCAATAGTGCAACACATTCTCTCTTGTCCACCTTTATCTCTCTGCCATGTATTCTTCTTTTCTCATTCCATGAATCTTTTATGTCATATAGTTAGAGGCCTATATAAGGGTGCCATGATGATAACAACATTTTCATCACAACTCCCACAGGTGAATTAGATCAATCTTTATGTAAGTAGGAAAGCATGATATTTTATAGTAGACATCCACCTTATTAGGTATGTGCAGGTGACCTCTATATTCATTTCCTCCGTTTCTTTCAAAATAAAGTTACCAATGTTTTATTCATATACCAAATTCATTGGAAAAACTAAGAATTTAGTCAAGTGAGCTTCTATATCTTCAAACAGAACTTTGAGAAAAGACCATAGTAATAGTTTGACCACATACAAATTAACTTTATATAGGGTTTTATGCTCTCCATCATGCTGATGAACGATGGCCTTGGAACTTCAAACGATAGTCCATTGTACCATGCAGCGAGTTACCAGAACCAACCCCCAAGTTAAAATAACACAAAACGATGAATAGGTTACTATTTAAGTTGCTTGATCATTGTTAATGGTTGGAACTTGAAAATAAATACATGAATCAAAATTATCAGTAGCCTTCTTTTATATTTGTTCACTGATTTCACGTCATTACATAGACAAGATTACAGGCCCAAACCAGATAACTATCATTCTTCACTCAAAGAGCATTATTTGCCTATGTAAACAAACCAAAATTGCTAACTGATCCAAAATGCACGCTTACCTCTAGATTTGGTGACAAAGTCAAGGCACTAAGGCTGCGAACTCTGTGTCCTCTTAAATCAAGCCGCTGAAAATGCATTAAAAACAGCAAAAGAAGCAGTGGTTTAAACGATGAATGTTCTTCCTAAAGCTGCATTGACTAATTGAATTCAGGTTTTTCTCTACTATTGGTAATATAATCAAATAGAAGAAACTTAAAAGAAAAAGAACTCAATTCTAAATGAGATTCCGTATTAAGCGTGAGCTTCATCACTTACCAGTTCATCACCAGCCTTGACATCGACCTGTGGAAGCATCATGAAGCGAGAATCACGACTCTCAGAAGATGAAGTCTTCTTCCGGCCTGATAAAGACGAACTCCTATCAACAGATGAAGATGTTGACCTCATTTTAGAGCTACTCATAATTGAAGGTGAGCGCCCCGATGGAGAAGATACATTGTTAGTGACTCTTCTGAGACTACCGCGGCCATTGGGATCATCCACTGAAGATGAGGTAATCCTTCTTGAGGAAGAAGCTGAAAGTGATGGTGATGATGGTTTGATGGACGGCTTCCTTGTCAAGTCTGCCTTGGTACTGTCAGACTTGGATAATAACCTTGACATGGGAGATGACTTTAACGTCTCTGAACGTTTTACGGAGGCAGGTATTTTCGAGCTAACAGAAGGCAGTGATGAACGTCTGCTCTCAAGGCTGCTGCTTCTCTTTCCAGGATCAGAAAGCGAAGGAGCGATCTTTTTAGCCTCAGCTGGAGTTCCATTTTCCTTTCGTTTTGTAGCAGAAGATGGCTGTTTCAGTGCCATGCCCCCAGTGCTACTTCTCCTCGGCAATGCATTTGAGTTCACAGCGGTTTTGGTTAAAGTAGACTTAGACCTGTTGGCAATCTTATCTGCTGGACCAGCACCTTCTGTTCGTTTCTTGGTCGAAGCAATCGGTGTTATTTCGCTAGGTTTTACCATTTTCGATGATTTTTTTGAAACTCCAACGGAAGCATCCGTCGATTTCTCTGAGGACGTCGATAACTGAACCTTTTTGGCCGGATCCTCGCTATCGTTCTCCAAAACTGACTCCATTTCAGCAGAAAACTTGTAGCTTATGTGTTTGGATCCAAACCCAGCCAGCTCGATCACGCAAAAATACCTTTTCGAGTCCTTCGGCACACGAATTTTAAGTGAATGAGTTGGGCCTAGTGCGGGCAACTAACGAAGTCGACACGCATGTTCTCCAAACGAACTCCTCGAGAAACACTGCGAAATTAAGAAAAAAGAAATCGAATTGCTGTTGGTCTTTAGATCATTTCCATAGTGATCCTACATAGAACAGGGATTACTCTTCCATTCATGTAAAAACCAGCTAGATGCAAGAAAAGCCAGGTACCGATCTCACACACATCGACAAACTCAAAGAAGAAAGAAAACGTTCCAATCTTGGCACTAAATCCAGGCTAAATGCAGACAAACCCACCAAAAACCCAAAATCCACAGGAAAAACACATCAAATCCGAAGCAAGACCAAAACTTTTCGCAACCTACGGAAATGCAGGTCCTAGAAGGGAAGGTCCGCGCCCTACATCGATCTCCACGAGAAAAGAAACAACAACGAACCCAAATTAGAAGAAGAACCTACCGCAGGATCGAACCGGTGAGCGGGATCTCACCTCAAACGCGGGTGACCGTGGCACCAGAACAAACCCTACTCGTCTTTGATAAATGTAGTCCGCGAGTACGATCTCTGCGAGTGAGAGAGTGTGAGAGATAGAGAGAAACGGATACGAGCGGAAGCATCGAAAAGTAATCAAACGATAAATGAAAAGAATAAAGATATTAAAAAGGAGCGATTGATGGCTTTCGTTGGATGCGCGTACAAAATTGGAAAAAGAAAAGAAGCGAGAGGAGTTCATTTGACCAAATTGCCCTCCTTTTGTCGGTAATGAACATGCCTCTCCAGCTAACGTACAAGCACGCCTCCACACAATTCCACTCTTTCACCTCCACGTAACAGTTATTCCAAGAAACAACGTTTCCTTTTCCAGTTAGACTTGGAGGGAATCTTGCCAAGTCGGTGACGCGATGCGACCCACGACCTAACGAAGGAGCAGTCGTGGTGAGCAACGGCTAGCGGTGATCGAAACTTGGCGGTGCGTGGACCGCAATGACAGCTGTAGAGTATATTTGGTGGCAGAGGTGGCTTTTTCCATAAAACCCCTTGCTTTTGTTATTATTATAAGACCTTTATACGAATATATGCGTCCCACCTGTAATGCGTGGATGAGCAAGTGGGGCCGGGGGGAACAGCCGATTCTTTTTTCACGTGTACCCTCACTTACCCACAATGGGTCCCATTATTCCTTCAATCAGAAGGCAGAGGTACCGCCGTGGAACGTAGGTATTTCGTAGCAATAGCTTTTTTCTATAATACTCCTTGACTAAGTGGTAATTATATAAACTTCACTTTCATTGCGTGGCTACGCAAGGAACCGTTGTACTTTCCTCACGCCCATTCAAACTTACCCATTCTGGGTCCCACAGTGCCCTTCCTCCAATCATAAAGCAGAAGCAGTGGTAAGCGTTGGTATGTACGGTTCTCTAGTAGCGGAGGCCTTTTTTCCTATAAAACCCCTCAACTTTGTTGGTTATTATAGAAAGCCCATGCATCTACACCCCACTTGTATTGCGTGGTTACGTAGGGTGGGGCCCGGAGGAAAGCAAAGCTTTCCAGTATGTGTTGGGCCCCACAGTCTCTTCCGCCAATGACAATGCTGAGGTATGGAAAAGCCGTGAAACGGTTGGGGGGGGGACTATTTTTCTGGGGAGAAAAGGTGAGGGGCTCTTAGTGGCTGATGCCGACACAAATGGAAGATCGTAGCCGTAGATCTGAGCCGTGATTGATTGCCTCCCTCTAAATTAGGTATTTGGTGTGCCTTGGACCGGATGATTAATGATTAATTAATGATGGGGTTCAATAAAATATGCGATTAATTAGTTGTGGATGAAGATAACGTGCAACCAAATACCCTTTTTTTTTCCTTTTTGTCAAAAGATGTGCCACAATATATTCAAAGGGGTTGGCAGACAAATCCAATATAAAATTCATAATGTCACCACTACATCTACTAGATCTTGGGAATGCAATATTATATCTTGCTTATTGCATGATCAAATCAATCAAGATTGAATGTTTTAATATCACAATATTTTTTTTTCAAAAATAAAAAGATTTTGTGATAAATGATAAAGTATTTTAGAAACTAATCTAACTGACATACACTATATTTTAAAGACTCTCATCCTTTAGCATGTGAGTGTAAAAAATAATTATTACTTCCTTAAATGAGTACAACATTCAATAAAAATAATATAGGATTATTCTTCCTATGTACTTGCTTTATTTTTAATAACCATGGAGAGCTAAAAGAGTGTGAGTATATTTTTTGTTATGTTCAAGATATTTCAATAAGGTGCACTTTTTATACTAAAATTATCAACCAAGGTTTTATATTAGAGAATATTATTTTTATTAGCAAAATTTAGTTATCAATACATATCTATAACAAGCAATGCATTTATGTACCTTAATCAATATTATCCAACTCAAAAGTCCTGCATATGATCCTCTCTCTCTCTCTCT